TAATAGACAGCCAGCCTCACAAGGTTTCTGCACAAAGGAGTGATACAATAAAAGCAAATTAAAAGAATATGTCTTTGGGAGCCCCTGCATGGCTCAGTCGGTTAAGTGTCTGCCTTCACCTCGAGTCATGATCCTGGGGTCCCAGGGTCCTGGGATTGGGCCATTTCAGGCTCCCTGCTCAGCGGGGGAGTCTGCTTCTCCCTCTCCCTCTGCCCCTTCCCCTCCCTCACACATGTGCTCACTTGCTGTCTCAAATAAAGAAATAAAATCTTTTTTAAAAAAGGAAAAAATATGTTTCGGGCGCCTGGGTGGCTCAGTCAGTTAGGCGTCTGCCTTTGGCTCAGGTCATGATCCCAGGGTCCTGGGATCGAGCCCCACATCAGGGAGCCTGCTTCTCCTTCTCCCTCTGCTTTCCCTGTCTGCCTGCCTGTGATCTCTCTCTCTCTCTCTCTGTCAATAAAATCTTAAAAAAAAAAAAGATTCTCTCTCTCTCTCCCCCTCTGCCCCTCCCCCCACTTTCCATCCCTTCAATTCCATTCTGTAACTACTGCCTTAGCTCTGACTTTTAGGACCTTGCCAACTGCAATGAACTAGTGTCCAGCACTCAGCGATCTCCCCATCCCACTTCTTCCCAGGCCATCCTACACGCCGCCACAAGAATGTTTCTAAAGGTGCAAAGGGCCCCTTTCTCTTCAAAGGTCAAAAATGTCTCCCCTTTGACCACCAAATAGTCTGAGCTTTTTAGTGCAAAATTCAAGACCCTCCCATAAATTATGCTATCCTCCTTCCAGACTTGTCTCCCATTCCCTAATATGAACCTATTACTCCACTGAAATTGAACTACTTACTACTCCCCGAACCTCTTCCGTGCTGTCCTCATGTGATTCCCCCACCCTTAGCCCACCTCCAGAGAAAAGCAGAGTCGGGGAAAACGGCTGGGAAGCTGTTGAGTAATCCAGGTGTGGGCTGATGCCACCAGGGAGAGGGTAGTGAGTGTGAGAATGCAGAGGACGGCTGATGGCAGCAGATCTTCCTGATTGGACACAGGGTTTGAAAGAAAGATGAGTCAAAGGTTAACTCATTTTGGGCTTGAGGCAGCAAACACAATTCCTTCTCCATAACTGCTTTTTCCTCATCCTTGCAGTTGTTGGAGGTTCATATTTATTTCATACTGCCTGTGTAACCTGGGACCACATATAATTAATGATTTCTCTATACTTTAGGTCACTAATATATATTTATTTAAAATAATACAGGCAGGGGCGCCTGGGTGGCTCAGTCGTTAAGTGTCTGCATTCTACTCAGGTCATGATCCCAGGGTCCTGGGATTGTGCCCAGAGTTGGGCTCCCTGCTCCGCGGGAAGCCTGTTTCTCCCTCTCCCACTCCCCCTGCTTGCATTCCCCGTCTTGCTGTCTCTCTCTCTGTCAAATAAATAAATAAAATCTTTTAAAAATAAAATAAAATAATACAAGCAGAACAAAATACTTTAGGAGCTAGAAGTCCTCAAGACACACTCTAAAATATTGTTGTGGGATTAAATATGCCACATTTCACATAACCTATGTGCATTTAATAGAATCTTTCATTTCATTATCAGTGTGGTTTGGAATATAAGGCTTATGAGACTGTCTCATGAAAACCAACATGAGATATTCATGTGGGTCTGGTAACAGCTGGAGCCAGGCACCTCAAAGCTCAGGGCTTGGGTTTCTCGAGCTCCCTTCTCTTCTTAGGTGGGGTCAGCTTTCTTCTCAGTCACTCAGGTCACCTGCCTCCTCTTCCCATTCCATCTGACACCAGCTCTGAGACCACCAGGTTTTACAGTTTGAGAAATCTGGGAGTCAGTACCCAGTAATGACTCTTAAAATCAGAGGGCTTGGCTGTTGAATTATGTGCCTGTCATTGCTAGCTACAACCTGGGGCAAGTGAGTTAACCGACTGACCTCAGTTTCTTCAACTGTAAAATGAGAATAATATTAGTACTGTCTCAATAGGGCTATTTTCAGGATTAAATGAGTTAATATATATGAGTTTAGATTGGAGCCTGGCATTTGATAAGTGCTCAGTGAATGTTAACTACTAACCAAGCTTTGATTAAATTTGGAACAAAAACCCTTGCTATCTACTAACTTAGCCAACAGGGGTCAGTACACAGCAATCCACATGGGAAGCTAAATAAAATGATTAATGGGCGTAAAAAAAGATTTTCAGTGTTTGAGGAAACATCAGTGCTTCAGAAAACTTTTGTAAAATGGTGTTAAGAAAAATCAGTAACCATAAAATTAAGCAATTAGTGAGAAACATAGGAAGAGAAAAAAAGGCAAAGTAATTAAATAATAAATACATTTAGAATGTCTAAAAGCAATTTAAAATGCAGAAGGATAGGTAGGGGGGTGGGGGGATGGGTTAGCCTGGTGATGGGTATTGAGGAGGGCACGTTTTGCATGGTGCACTGGGTGTTATGAACAAACAATGAATCATGGAACACTGCATCAAAAACTAATGATGTAATATATGGTGATTAACATAACAATAAAAAAATTAAAAAAAAAATAAAAAATAAAATGCAGAAGGACATTTTAAGTGGGAATGCTCCAAAGCAGAGGCCTTGAGGATCCATGATGCAGTAGAGTACTATCTTGCCAACAAGAGCAACTTGCTCACTGAAGTAACCAAGTACGTATTTCAAGTTCTACCTTGATGTTTGGGGGATGGGAGAGGGTATGAACCGTCCTATTTTACGATTACATGACAACAGTGTTACTGCTTATTGAGTGTTCACTGTATGCCAAGTGCTTTACACACATCACCATATTTCTTTGACTTTTTAACATGAAAATGTTGAAATATATAGAAGAGGATAGAATAATAAAATGAACACCCATATACACATCAATCGAGCACTGAACACTTACCCTATTTTAATTTTTCTAAATTATTTTAAAATAAATATAGATACCAAAATTTTACCCCAAAATACATTAATACGTATATCTAAAAATAGAGACGTTTTTCTACAACGGCACAATGGTTTTATCATATCTAATAAAAAAGCAGTTGTTTAATATCATCTCATGCCCTAGTTCGTATTCAGATTTAATTGTCCCCAAAATATCCTTTATATCTGGTTTATTGAACCAGAAACAAGGACAAGCCATTGCATGTAGTTATTGTGTCTCTTAGGTTTCTTTTAATCTAGAACAGCCTGCCCTCTGTCCTGCTTTTTTGTTTGCTTGTTTTGTAATTACACTGACTTAAGAGACAGCCATTGGTTCTGCAGGAAGTTCAGAATTTTTCTGTTTCCTCTTGGTATCATTGTATTCTTCTATCCTTGTACTTTCTGCATTGAGTATGACTATATAGAAGGGAGAGCGTTTGGGAAACAATCCTTCACAGACAAAACTGGGGCATCATATTGTATCACATCAGGAGGCACATAATGTCCGATTGGTCCACTTTTAGTGATTATAAGATTGATCTAGGTTAAGATGGGAGGAACCAGATTCCTTCATTGTCATTATGTTTTTCTTCTGACTACAGCTAGCAATCCCTGGAGGATAATTTGGCCCTAGGTGAATATTCTGTTCCCTGTCACCCTTTCACCACATGGTTTCATTGATGGTCCTGGCATGAGAATCAGTTATTTCATTAGGGCCTACAAGGTGGTGATTTTCCAATTCTATCATTCATCTTACATTATTTAGCTGGAAAACTTTTGTAAAGAGAACTGTTTCCTCATCAACTGGGACTATTTGGTTACCCTGAAATACAGCTGTAAGTAGGAGGGCAGGATAAATGTTTAATTTATTTTCTTAAATTACCACTTTTCAGAGTAAAGAGTTGCTGTAACAGTCACCATGGCAAATGAGGCTTTTAAAAAATTGTTTTTTATATTTGGTTTATTCTTTTGGTGGGACTTCTTTGTTTGACATTTTCAATCAATTGCAGTCATTATTTTTGGTGCTCAAATTGTTCTAATTTTGGCCAGTGGGCATTCCCTCAAGCTGGCTCCCATGTCCTTTTGAAAGGACCTCGTTTTTTTTCTTGGATACCTCCAGACTTCACTGTCACAAGATGTCCCAAGCGCTCCTATTCATTCCCAGCTTTTGACCTGGCATAAATCATTTCTCCAAGGAGCCCTGGGACTTTTTAGTGGAGAGTGGTATTTATTTAGAGATCAAAATCTGGGTGCCAAGGATAACCACTGCCCTGAGTTCAAATTAATATTTTCATTTCAAAGTTAAGATAAGGTTTTATTTCTTGTTTTTATACTTTTATATCTTATTTTACACTGGAGTTTTTGCGCCTAATAACATTAACAAAATTATTCTTTAAATACTTAAACCAACCCTATGAGATAGGGGATAAGTTATATAACTGTGATCATAATTTATGTTAAAATCGCTGTTTTACGAGGAGGAAACTGACAAGAGGTGCCCAGGCTTACGTGGCCAGTAAATGGCAGCGTCGGGATTTGAACCCGGCACGCTACTTCCACCAGGGAAGGGAGTCCCAGACATTCAGAGGGTCTTCTCCACGTTAAGTGATCAGGGCTGGGGATGCGAGAACCAGCATGAGGGGGAAATTGACCCATCGTGACCGACTGCTTCAAATGAACCGGGAGGGCAGAGCGGGGGCGAGTGCCCTAAAGAGCACGAAACGCCTGGAACCACACATGCACCACCTGAAGGTGAGAAAGCCTGGTTCGGAACCACGCGGCGCAACCCCCAAACCGAACCCACCGGACCTGACCCGCCTCCGCGTAGCGCCCGCCCACCCACCAATCGCACGGAGCCTTGAGCATCGGGGCGGGACAACAGGGGAGTATGTCCAATGAGGAATCGGCTCCCGGTCGCCTCAGAGCTGAGCACTTCAGAGTACTAACTGGAGAGCGAAGAGGAGGTGGCGGGCTTGGCCAATCATAGGGGGAGACTCAATATTTGGGCCCCGCAGCCAATCAGAAGAGCGGTCGCATCCGATTCGTTCGGCCCACGCTTCCCGCCTTTCCGCCAACTCCAGAGGCCCCGGCTAGTTGGCCACCGGAGTTGGGGCGCTCGCAGTCCTCTTCTGACAGTCGTACCGCCGACCCCGGGGCCGCGCGGGTGTCTGGTGGAGCATGGCGAACTCGGGCTGTCAGGACCTCCGGGGCCAGGAGGGGGAGAGTTTTCTGTACTTCGCCTACGGTAGCAATCTGCTGACCGAGCGGATCCACCTCCGAAACCCGTCGGCCGCGTTCTGCTGCGTGGCCCGCCTGCAGGTCAGTGCTGCCCGCGCGCGGCCCCTGCAGCGTCGCGCCCACCCTGCGGACGAGAGGGCAGGATTTCGGGAAGTCGTTTTCTCGGGGCTGGGAATGCAGCTCTTGCTGATAAGAGCACGTCGGAGCTGTCTTCACCGTCTGGCTTCTGCCCTCCTCCCGCCTCGCCCCCACAGCGTTGTGCCCGCCTGGCAGCTGTGCGCCCCCGGGCCGCCCTGAGCCCCCTGCTGACTTTCCCCGGGAGGCTCGTTCTGCCCGGACCTGGCCGCCTCTGTCTTGCCCACCGACTTAGGGGAGCGCTCACAGCATCCATCCGCTCCGTGCCTCCCAGACGCCTTCTCTGTCCCAAGTCAGGGAACGCGTGGCTTTCTCTTCCCTACCACACACCGTCGCTGCAGGGCTTGTCCGCTGGTATTGTAAAACTCAGTTCACCTGGCTTTCGCTCCCGATGCCAGAGGTCCTGACGGCCGGCACCGGCACCTATCGTAGTCATAGTAAGAGCCGTGCTCAGTTCAGTCAGGTGGCTGGGTGAACCATAACACACCTTGGTAAAAGTCATTGCTCTTCAGGGGCGCCTGGCTGGCTCAGTCGGAGGAGCATGTGACTCTTGGTCTCAGGGTCTGAGTTCGAGCCCCAGGTTGGGTGTAGAAATTAAATAAATAAAAACTTAAAAATAATTGCTCTTCAGTACAATCCGTTCATTCCTTTGGTGGATTTTTTTCCCTGCAGATACAAAAGTGATAAAGTGGGCTGCCCGGAGGACCTGTCCATGTCTGTAGGAGGGACACACCAAAAAATTATGTACGAAAGCTTTTGACATTGTCGGATTAGACAAACATGGTCTCTGCTGCCCTTGTCAGGGTTCTTAGTTGCAAGCAACAGAAAGTGGCTGATTTAAGCGGAAAAAGAATGGGTTGAAAGGCTGTTGGAGGGTTCACAGAATGACCAGGAAGGTAGGACCACAGAACTGACAAAACAGGGAGGCATAGGGGTGCCTGTCTGAGTCCGTGGGTGGAGCATGGGACTCTTGATCTCAGGGTTGTGAGTTCAACCCCACTTTGGATGTGGAGCCTACTTTAAAAGCAAAACAAAAAACAGGCAGGCATAAAGGGAGGTACAGCAACCACCACAGCCAGTATCACAGATAGACCCAGCCCAGGAGGCCACTGGTGCGCCTCTGCTGAACTTAGTAAACATGGACACTAAGTTGGGCATCACTGACCCTGTCTGCTCCGGACCTTGCCTGCTACTGTCACTACACCCCTGCAGTTCCTGAAACCTAGATGTGGCCACCACCTGCAGGATGTAGTTTCTGCTGTCCCTGGGCACTAGCACTAGCTTCTATTTCAGTTGCAGGTGGGTGTCCTGATTGGCTAACCCATGGCCACGTGCCCATGTCCTGACTGCAAGCAAAGCTGCGAGAACCAACTGCTGGCATTTGACGCCTCAAAAATGGGAGTTGGGCTCTAACACTTTCTATTACCCAGACTCCTAAGGTAGGGAACTGCCCAAATGTGGAAAAGAACTTCAGATGCTTATAGTTGGGACAAGTGGAAGAGCTATCAAACAAGTGATTATTCAGTTACAGATATGGTGAGTTTAAAAAGGAGACATGTTGTACCTTCCTCTCAGTTTTGCTGTGAACCTAAAACTGCTCTAAAAAAAGTGAAGTCTTTAAGAAAAAGAGACCTACAAGGTGCTATGGGAGTGTATGACTTGGAGGTCCTGTCCTAAGAGCTTAGTAAAGCTCTTCCTGAAAATACGACTTTTAAGCTGAGACCTGAATGATTGGGCAAGGGGAGACAAAAGAGAAGGAACAGCATGTACAAATGACCTCAGGAAAGAAGAAGCTGGATCATCAGCTGCTGTGGCGGGAGTTTAGTGTGTGAGGAGGATATTGCTTGACAACTAGAGAGGTAGGGAAGGACCACATGTTACAGGATCACAGAGGCCAAAGAGGACTTTGGTCTTTATCTTGAGAGCAATGAAAAGATCCATTGCAGAATTTAAGCACATGAAAGATTAGATTTACAACTTTGAAAGCTCATTCTGGTTGCTATGGAAAATGGATTGGAAGGAGAGACAACAGTTGATGTGGGGAGCCCAGTTAGAAAGCTTTTGTAGCAATCCATGCTAAAGATAGTGGCACCTTGAACTGGAGTGGTAGCCGTGGCAGGTAGATGGGTTGGGGAGATATTTAGGAGATAATAACGTTAGGCCTTGGTGATTGATTGTGAAGGGAGGAAGAGGTAACAGGGGTGACTAAGGTTTTTCGTGCAATAGGGTGGATGATGGTGATATTTGTAAAGAGGAGAGTCCGTTTGGAGGGAAAGTCAAGCTCAGCTTAAACATAACTGAGTTTGAGATGTTTGTTATACATCCAAGTGAGCAGAAAAATATTAGCATTTATTAAGTACTCACTGTGTGGTAGGCCCTGTTCTAAGCATTTTTGAAGTTTAGAAGAGAGATCTGGGTTTGATTAAAAGATGATTGGAATATTGGATGGTATTTGAAGTTATCAGAAGGGATAGATTGTCTTGAGCAAATTGATGATGAACAAGAAAAGGGGCCTAAACTGAGCCCTTAGCAACTCTACCATTTAAAGACCAGGTATGGAGGAGGAGTTAGCAAAGGGAATTGAGATCAGGGAACAGTCTGAAAGTCAGGAAGGAGGCAGATCAAGACAGGGTGGTTAACCCTGTCGGAAGCAGCTGAAAAGTGGAGCAAGAGGAGGAATGAAAATTGTCTATTGGGTTTAGACAACCAGTACCTAATGTGGTTGTGACTTTTTATCGGCTCTCCTGATGTCCTGCCAGGGCTGCTTGGCCCTAAAACATCTGGTATACCGATTGAAGATATTGGTCACTCAAACCAACCTTTTTCCTGAAATGTGACATTTTTAAGAAAATAAAGGTGACAGGGATAAAATATAAACCTTAAATTTAGTATCTAGTCCAACCTTTTTTTATTATTAAGGAAACTAAGCTCTGGAAAGATGGAAAGAAATTTTCTACACCAAATGGCCAAGTAAGAGTTTTTAATCTTCCCCAAGATTCTCTCCTCTGATTACCCATCTCTATAGGGAAGAAGCTAAACTAGAAACCTGGCAGGATGCCTGGGTGGCTCAGTCGGTTAAGCATCTGCCTTCAGCTCAGCTCATGATTCCAGAGTTCTGGGATCAAGTCCCACATTGGGCTCCCTGCTCGGCCGCTCCCCCCGCTAGTGTTCTCTATCTCCCTCTGCCGGCCGCTCCCCCCGCTAGTGTTCTCTATCTCTCTGTGTGTCAAATAAGTAAATAAAATCTTTAAAAAAAAATAAAAATAAACTAGAAACCTGGCTCCATTACTTATTAGTTGTGAGACCTTGGGCAAGTTGCTTAATCTTTATAAGCCACAGTTTTTCTTGTTAAATGGGTATAATAAAGTTGTTGGCAGGATAAAAATGAGTCCACATAAAGCTCATAATGCAGTTATAGAACCTAGTAATGTACTAGTATTAGCTGCTTTTAATGTTTATTATAGATATGATAGTACAATTCATGAGTGCTAGATTAATCACCCTCCAATGCTGGCTCCTTGAGGGCAAACATGGTGATATATGCTAGCAGGATACTCTCTATATACATAAAAGTAGGTTGTAACCCCTATGTAGCTACCCAGCTTCAACAATTATGTATACTATGGTTGCCTCTAAGTTAAAATCTATGCGTATGTAGGTAGACTGGGAAGAAATTTTTAAAAATGAAAATAGTTACATTAAGGCATTGGGATTATGGGGTTTTTTTTAAACCCATTTATGGTAAAATATATATACATATATATATTCAGTATACATTTCATTTTTAAAGAAAAATATGAAAAAATATAGTCTTTGAGATCCGGGTCTTTGTTTATCTTTGTATTTTTTACAGCTTCTTATACAGAGAAAGAACTCAAAGTTTATGTTTTAATTGCATGGAGTTCAAGGTAAATTTTTTTTTTACACTGAAGAGGGAAATTTTGGTTCAAGTGGATATTGATCATATCATTTTGGTTTCCTTTGTAGGATTATAAGCTTGACTTTGGCAATTCCCAAGGCAAAACAAGTGAAACTTGGCATGGAGGTATAGCCACTATTTTTCAAAGTCCTGGCGATGAAGTATGGGGAGTAGTATGGAAAATGAACAAAAGCAATTTGAGTTCTCTGGATAAGTAGGTGGCTTCTAATTATAAGTTAAATAATAACTAATTCAGAAAGTGGATCATATGCAAAGATGTGTGTGTGTATATATATATATATATATATATATATATATATATATATATATGTGTTGGTTTTTCAAAACCATATACTACATTCTTTACACTGTAGCATTAACATAAAAAGTATAATGTGCATATCCTAAAAAGAAAAGCCTAGGGGTACCTGACTGACTCAGTCTGTAGAACATGCAACTCTTGATCTCAGGGTTGGGAGTTCAAGCCCCACATTGGGCATAGAGCCTACATAAAAAAAAAAAAAAAGCCTAGAAGGGTCACTTATTCCAGTTGAGATTTGGGGGATAGTTATAATCTCTTCTGTAAAAAAATGGAAATCTTTATTTTTGTTTTATTTATCTTTTATTAAAAAAAATCTCTTTGTAGTTTCATATTGTGAAAAGGCATGAAGATGTTTGTAATTGTTATATCTTTTTATCGGTTTCAAAAGCAGTTCAGTTTTTACTAGAGTCAGTTTTTAAAAAATAATTCTTTAAGGTGGCAGTTGAATCAGTAAAAAAGTAATAATTTGTAAAAACTTTGACAACGTACTAGAAATGTTTTGATACTGTTGATAACTAGAACTCTCCAGTTGTGTGGCAGAGCATGTATACAAAGAAAGTTGGCAGAAAAGAGTAGGACTTGAAAAGAACACATTTTCTGATATGCATGATACTTTAGGTCACTGGTGAATAAGAGGGAGCCATTCTCTCTACTTTTCTCTGGGTGGATAGTCTCTTGTTGTCAGAACACATAGTCATTTTTTGTAGCCTAGAGAGCAGTGTTGAAGGGGTATAAAGATTGAAATAACTATATTCAAGCATGGGTTTATATAGGATAAATGTAGAGATCTGTTAGAAGTGTACTGAGTAATACTAAATCTGAGGCTTTCCAATTGAAATGCTAGGTTTACTTTTGATGTGGTAGTATTTATAATATGTTCTACCATACCCCAAAATACAAAGGGGGCAAGTACATCCATATATAGTTAAATTTTTAATCCAATAAACTAACGTGGCTAAATCATATATGGTTAAAATTTGACTGTTCTGGTTTCAGGCAAGAAGGGGTTAAAAGTGGAACATATGTCCCAATAGAAGTTAATGTTTATACTCAAGAAGGAAAAGAAATAACCTGTCGAAGTTATCAGATGAAAAATTATGAGAGTGCTCCCCCATCCCCCCAGTATAAAAAGGTAAGCTACTTACAAAGACTGTTGGAGATTCCTTTTTAATTTTCACTGAGCTAAACTAAAAAATATCTTGCTTTAAAAAGACTATGTGCGCATTAAATTCTACACGAACACTTATTTTTTTGCCTGCCCTACCCCTATGAACACTTCATTTTAATAAAAATGTTTTTAATGCAAAAATGATAGTTATTTACCTAACATGCAAATTGAAAAATATTCAGATTTATTTGTAATGATAGAACCATGTTCCTAAAACAGATTTATTAAAAAAGACTTCGGAAATCTATATGAGCCATAATTCTAGATATGTGTTTTCTTTCCCAAAGTAGAAAATAACATGTATGCATGTATTTTTAGTGGATTTATTCTATGCATAGGCTTTTGTAATCATTTTTTCTCCACAAAACAGTATTTCATAACACCAAGATTCATTTTTATGGGGGAAAAACACATTTCCTGTTGCTGAAATGTTTTCCATCCCTAGATGGAGGGAAAAAAGTCACACTCTTTTTTTTTAAGATTTTATTTATTTATTTGACAGAGAGCGAGACAGTGAGAGAGGAAACACAAGCAGGGGGAGTGGGAGAGGGAGAAGCAGGCTTCCCGCTGAACAGGGAACCCCCCCGATGTGGGGCTCAATCCCAGACCCTGGGATCACGACCTGAGCCAGAGACAGATGCTTAATGACTGAGCCACCCAGGCGCCCCAAAGCCACACTCTTTCAAAATCAGAGAAACTACTCCCACAAGCATAGGAGAAGAATGTGGGATAGAAACCCCAACATCCCTTTTTAGAAACCCAAACTTAGGTACTATTGGAAGGCCCAGTCAGGACATGGCACGTGGAGTGGATCACCCAGTTCCTCGGCCTAATCTGGAATTTTCTAGTATGGAACCTAGAGGAATTAGCCTGGTATGGATCTGGGAAGTACCCACCGAACATGGTTGCCATCTATTAGCTCATTTCATATCAGAGGTAGAGTAGACTCCCAGATTAAACTAAAACTGCTCCCTGTAAACTTTACATTTTTTTTTTAAAGAATGGTGCTTTTTCTTAATAAATCTTGCCAGTTCTATACAATAAGTTTTTATCTTAATATAAAAATATTTTAAATTAGAATGCCTAGAATCAAAAACACAAGAAATAACAAATGTTAGCGAGGATGTGGAGAAAAAGGAACCCTGATGCGATGCTGGTGGGAATGCAAGCTGGTACAGCCACTGTGGAAAACAGTACGGAGGATCCTCAAAAAATTAAAGATAGAATTACCATATGACCCAGTAATTCCACTTTGGGTATTTACTCAAAACGAAAACATTCATTTGAAAAGATATATGCACCCCTATTTTACTGTAGCATTATTTACAATAGTCAAGATATGGAAGCAACCCAAGTGTCCATCCATAGTTATGGCTAAATAAGACGTGTGTGTGGGTGTGGGTGTGGGTGTGGGTGTGGGTGTGGGTGTGGGTGTGGGTGTGTGTACACATACATACATACAATGGAATATTACTCAGCCATAAAGAAGAATGAGATCTTGCTATTTACAGCAACACGGATGGACCTAGAAGGTATCATGGTAAGTGAAATAAGGTAAACAGACAAATACCATATGATTTCATTCATACATGGAATCTATGAACAAACAAATGAACAGACAAAAAAATACCCAGACTCTTATCTACAGAGAACAAACTGGTGGCTGCCAGAGGGGAGGTGGGCGGGGGATGGCTGAAATAGGTGAAGGGGATTAAGAGCACACTTACCATGATGAGCACTGAGTAATGTAAAGAATTGTTAAATCATTATATTGTATACCTAAAACTAATATAACACTGTATATTAATTATACTTTAGTTTTTAAAAATATTTTAAGCCATATTATCGAGTAAAATTGATACTCCATGAGAATGTATCATGTGGCCTTGAAAACTCCCTGCACATTTATGCTCACTCTAAGAGGAATGACTCTATTTTGTTCTATAAGTGTTTATTCTAGAGTTATCTGAAAGCTAGTATTTCATACTTTGATACTGCACATAAAGCTGTGGTATATTAAATTGTATTCCTAATTAAAAGGTGCTTTTGGTTTCTTTTAACCATTTCTAGGTCATTTGCCTAGGTGCAAAAGAAAATGGTTTGCCACTGGAGTATCAAAAGAAGTTAAATGCAATAGAACCAAATGACTACCAAGGAGAAGTCTCAGAAGAAATTGAAGACATTATCAAAAAGGGAGAAACAAAAGTTCAATAGAACATAATAGATATTTTAGATAGAAATCTAAATTATAATAGAAAATACAGATATTTTCTGTATGTGCTAATATATTTTTAACATTTAGAAAAGAGATCTGAGGTATCTCTATGTTTAATATATTTTCAACAGTGCTCTAAAGGGATATCTTACTTAGGTAATTCCTTGTATTCAGACTCAAAAAAGAAACTTGGTTAGAAATTAGATAATTGAGGGGCGCCTGGGTGGCTCAGATGGTTAAGTGTCTACCTTTGGCTCAGGTCATGATCCCAGGGTCCTGGGATGGAGCCCCACATCAGGCTCTCAGCTCAGCGGGCATCCTGCTTCTCCCTCTGCCTGCCGCTCCACCTGCTTGTGCTCTCTTTCTCTCTGTGTCAAATAAATAAATAAAATCTTTAAAAAAAAATTAGATCATTGAAAAGGAGGCCATGATGCACTGGAATGCATGACAAATGGATGTGGGTACTCCTTCCATGAACACTTAAAGTTATTTTCTGGAGTTGAGTGTATTCTTGCTCTGTGACAGAGGAGATATTTGCAACTTAACGATCGTGCCGGTGAATCGCTCTGCTCTGGGATTTTTTTAAATCAGCTTAATAAGAGCAAGCAAACTACAGAGACAGTTGATAATTTTTTTTTTAATTTAAAAATAGCATACTGTTCTTAGAGAAATAAATGTATTTGTGGTTTAACCTGTCTTCCCTACTGAAGTACTATATTTCACTTTGTTAGAGACTCATGTCCTCACCCATACTGGGTCTGATGTTGGCTATACACAGTCCATACTACAGGATTATTGCACAGACTCTGGAACCAGACAGACAGCCTAGGATCAATTGTCAGTTCTACCACGTTCTAGCTGGGAGACTTTGGGTTATCTGACTCTTTGCCTCAGTTTGCTCATCTATAGAGTGAGGGCAGTTGAAACACCTATGTCATAGGATTATTTTGAGGAGTAAATATATGTAATAAGCTTAGAACCGAGCCTGGCACGTAATAAGTATTAGAAATCACTAATGTTCTTATTGAAGAATTAAGTTTATACAGAGCCATCCTTGGAACAGGATTTTAAAGTAGAAGAGTTAAGATTATGAGCGGAAAACATTTTTTGAAAGCTCCAGTTTGACTCTTGGCTTCCTAAATTTATTTACTGAACAAATGGAAGAAAGAAGAGTCATGAATAAAACAGCACTGGTTATCAAAAAACCAGGTCTCTGGAATGCAGTGAGCTAGACTTTTGAAACAGGTTATTGGAATGAAATGAGCTAGCTGCAGGAACATAAAGATTTGTTTCTCTTGGGAAAAATAACCAAAGAACTTTTCAGCTACAGCTGATGAAGTGGAACTGAACCATAGACTTCAGGTTAGATCATGTTTTATAGCTGTTACACTTCTAATATTCTAGTTTCCTCCAGTTCGTAACTCCTCCCAAGAAGACCAAGTTTGTCAGTACCTAGAACTCAGTTATGGTAATATAATGAGCAAGGATGAGCTTTGATGTAAAAATAGAATATTATTTTCGTAATCTATCTCACCCACCTAAAATGACAAATTTCATTAAGGAATTTAAAACACTAACAATAAAACCTTCATGTCTGGCCTTTTAACGAAAATCTGGTAATCATGAGGAATACTGTTTCTCCAGTCATTTTCAAGGTAGTAATACCAAATATCATATGTAAGGACGTTGCATTTCTACTGGTGATTTTGGCCCTCTAACCACAATACAACCAACTGGATAAACTGTAACTGAAGAGCATTTCTGGGCTTGCAAGAAAATAAGGGAAATCAAGATATACCTGTCCCTGTACCACAAAAAGAAAAAGACACTTTTCCAGCACTGGTAAACAAGTGACGCTGACATCTTTGGGTACAAATGCCAATAGTAGCCCTGGAATTTGACTGTTAACCCTTGAGCAATCCCGCTGCAAGACAGGAAAACAACCTGAAAATTCTATATGAAACTGGGATCCCTGAAGAGAACTAAAATGGTCTCTAGTAAGCCTCGTAGCTTCCAGCAGAGATGCAAAACCTCTCTGAAGAAAGCAATTCTAATTTAGGTCTTCAGAATGTCCACCTGAAAATTTAAAAGATAATAGGAAAATGATGCATCATAAGTGAGAACAGGAAAAACACCTAGATCCCCAAGGTTTTGAGATATTGAAATGATCAATAACAGTATAAAATAAGCATATATGGAGACTTTGACTTCTGGAAAGATGGAGTAGACATACTCTTCCTTATTCCTTCTGTTAAGTACAACTAAAATCCCTGAACATTATATATAAAACAAGACTGAGAGGGAGAGAGAAAGCAGACTAGACAGAGACAAGACACAACATGGTACTGAATTCCCTGGGTTTTCTCTTGCCTCCTACATCTCAGAAGGAAAACTAGAAAAATTTGTTGCTAGCAGGAATGACTTAGAAAAGGAATGGCTGAAGAAAGTTTTCTAGACAGAAAAGAAGAAATAAAAAAAGGAACTGGAACATCAGAAAGGAAAAAATAACATGGTAAGCCAAAATATGGGTAAATATGATAGACTTTCCTTCTCTTGAGTTTCTGAAATAATGGTTGAGGCAAAAATTATAACATTGTGCTTCTAAATATATGTAGAAGTAATATTTAAAATAATTATTAAAGGACTGGTATGAATGATGACACCAGTAGACTGAAAAATTATATGTATATATTGAAATAGCTAAAGAAATAGCTTAAAAAGGTATACAAACAGATAACACTTAAAAAAAACTATAGAGGGGCCTGGGTGGCTCAGTCACTTACATGTCCGACTCTTGATTTCAGCTCAGGTTATGTCTCAGTGTCCTGAGATTGAGCCTTGTGTCAAGCCCCACGCTCAGCATGGAGTCTGCTCAAGACTCTCCCTCTGTCCCTCCCTGCCTGAACATGCTCTCCCTCAAAATAAATAAATCTTTAAAAATTTTTAAAAAAAGAATATGATCCAACCTTATCCTGTCTATAAGAAACTCACTTCAACTATAACAATGTAAGCAGTTTGAAAATAAAGGGTTACAGAAATATATATGCTGCAAACATTAATTAAGGGAAAGAATGAGTGGCTATATTAATACCAAATAAAGTAGATTTCAAAGCAAAGTATCAGAGATGGAGGGGCATTTTGGTAACCCTTACCAATTCATTTTAGGAAGCTAGTATTACCCTGGTACCAAAACCAAAGACCATAGAAAAAAACAAGCAAACAAAAATAAACCTACAGACTATATCCCTCATGAATATAGATGTAAACATTATTAACTAAATAGTCATAAATAGAATTCGATACTACATAAAAAGAATTACACATCATGACCAAAGAGGGTTTATTCCAGAGATGCAAGGCTGGCTTGATACTTGAAAATCAAATCCACTGTATTAACAAGCAAAATAGTAAAGTCACATGTTCATATCAGTTGCAGAAAAAGCATTTGGCATCATCCATTCATGATTAAAAAAAAAAGTTCTCACGACGCCTGCCTGGCTCAGTCTATTAAGCATCTGACTCTTGTTTTTGGCTCAGGTCATAATCTCACAGGTTATGAGATGGAGCCCCCTAGTTGGGCTCTGTGCTCAGCGGGGAGTCTGCTTGGAGATTCTCTCCCTCTGCCCCTCCCCCCACAACATTATACTTAATTGTAAAAGACTGAATGAATGCTTTCCCCCTAAAACCGGGAACGAGGCAAGGATATCTGCTCTCACCACTATTATTCAAGATGGTGCTAGAAGTTCTAGCCAGTGCAATAAGAAAAAAAAAAAATGAAGGCAAACAGATTGGAAAGGAACAAATGAAACAGTTCCTATTTACAGATGACATGAATTGTCCATGCAGAAAATTCCTGGGAATCTATAAAAAAAACTATCACCTAGAACCAATAAGTGAGTTCAGCAAGGTCACAGGGTACAAGATAAACACAAAAATCAATTGTATTTCTATACACTAAGATACATGGACACTGAAATTAAAAATGTAATAACCATTTGCAATTTCCTTTTGTAAAACTAATATTTCTTATTGAGATGAAATTCGTGTAACATAAAATTAACCATTTTAAAGTAAACAATTTAAGGAGAACACACTAGTGGGGGGGAGGGGCAGAGGGTGAGAGAGAGAGAATCCTCAAGCAGACTCCCTGCTAAGTGTGGAGCCTGATGCAGGGCTCGATCCCAGGACCCTGAGATCATGACCTGAGCTGAAATCAAGAGTCAGCCACTTAACCAACTGAGCCACCCAGGTGCGTCAAAAATGCTCTTGATATTTTTATAGGGATTGCATTAAATGTGTATATTGCTTCGGGTAGTATAGACATTTTAACAATATTCTTCCAATCCATGAACATGGAATGTCTTTCCATTTTTTGGTGTCATCTTCAATTTCTTTCATCAGCGTTTTATAGTTTTCAGAGTACAGGTGTTTCACCTCTTTGGTTAGGTTTATTCTTAGGTATCATCATTTTTGGTGCAATTGTAAATGGGATTGTTTTCTTAATTTCACTTTCTGCTGCTTCCTTATCAGTGTATAGAAATGCAACAGATTTCTGTAGATTTGTATCCTGCAACTACTGAATTCATTTATCAGTTCAAGTAGTTTTGTTGGTGGAGTCTATGGGGTTTTATATATATGGCATGCATTCTTAGTTTATATATATATATATATATACACACACACACACACATATATATATATATATAGTGTCATGTCACCTGCAAATAGTGAAATTTTACATCTTTCTCACCAATTTGATGCCTCTTATTTATCTTTTTTGTCTGACTTCTGGCTTGGACTTCCATTACTAAGTTGAATAAAAGTGGTGAGATTGGACATCCTTGTCTTGTTTCTGATCTCAGTTTTTTTACTATTGAGGGTGATGTTAGCTGTGGGATTTCAATATATGGCCTTTGTTATGTTGAAATTTTTTATCGTGAATATATGTTGTACTGTGTCAAATGCTTTTTCTGCATCTTTTGAGTTGATCATATGGTTTTTATCCCTTCTCTTGTTAATGTGATATATCACATTTAGTGATTTGTGACTATTGAACCAGCATTATATCCCTGGAATAAATCCCACTTGATCATGGCAAATGATTTTTTTTAATGTATTATTGGATTCAGTCTACTAATATTTTGTTGAGGATTTTTGCATCTATGCTCATTAGAGATACTGGCCTGTAGTTTTCTTTTTTTGTAGTATATGTGGTTTGGGGAGCAGGGTGATGCTGGCCTTCTAGAATGAATTTGGAAGCTTTCCTTCCTCTTCTATTTTTTGGAAGAGTTTGAGAAGAATTGGTATTAACTCTTATTTAAATATTTGGTAGAATTCACCTGTGAAGTCATCTGGTCCTGGACTTTTGTTTTTTGGCAGTTTTTTGATTACTAATTCAATTT